AAGAGAAAAACCGAGAGGCATTATCTCAGAAATGAGTTCCTCACAGTAGACCTAATTCTCACTTACTGATACTGTCTTACTATACAGAATTTCATGTTTTTGCCACTACCCTCTGACTTTATTGTATATTAACAATCTACATTTGGAAGTACTGAATGCCGAGGTGCTAGGCTAGAGTAATGCTGACTGCTTTGAAGGCTACGTGTCTGTGTCAACTGGACTGGATATGATTCTCAATGATGTGGCAGTTGTGCAACTTAATTGCGCAGTTATGTAACGACATGATTTGACAGTTCTATAATGATGTACTAATTCTCTAGTTTGTAATATAATATGGTCATGTTGAATTTTCACATAATACCAATTTTCTCCTAACAGTCTAGTTCTATTGAAACTTAAAGGAATGGATAAGTAAGGGGTGAGTGTATCAGAAAAGTGGTTTCTAGTGTCAAAGAAATTGTAAACTAGAAGAGGACTTTAGTTTCTACTTAATCCTAAAACACATTATACAAACTCAACAATTAAATCAATTAGGAAATAAGTAAATCACCCCAGGTTGCAGAATAAATTAATGGCGGAGTGGAGGATTGATAAATTGGTTTTAACTCAGCCTCAAGGATTGTGTTTTTCTTAAAACACTGCTAAATACAGAATTAGATTAAGACTGTGTTATGCAGATGACATAATATTGCTCGGGCAAAGTGAGGAAGACTTGAAACATTTGTAGCAGCAAGAATAAAGACTAAAGTCTTCAATATGGATTGCTTCTGAACATCAAGGACACAAAAATCCTTACCACTGGACCAACAGGCAACATCATGATGGAGAAAAGATTGAAGTTGTCACCAATTTCATTTTAATTGGATCCAAAATCAATACCCATTGTTAACAGCAGTCAAGACATCAAAAGACATGTTGCACTGGGAAAATCTGCTTTCAAGGACCTTCCTAAAGTACTAAAGAGCAAAGAAGACAGTGTAAAGAATAAGGTGTGCCTGATCCAAGACATGATCTTCTCCAATGTTTTCTGTGTACCTGAAAGCTTGACAGTGAATAAAGATGACAGAAGAGTTGCTATCTTTGAGTTGGAGAAGTGCCAAAAGAATAAGTATGTCATGGAGAAAGTGCAACCAGACTGCTCCTTGCAGGCAAGGATGGAAGAACTTCTCACATACTTTGGGAGTGTTGTCAGAAGGGGCCAGTTTTTGGGAAAGGACATCACACTGGGAAAGGTGGAGGGTCAGGGAAAGAGAGGAAGACCTCCAACACGACAGACTGATGTAGTGACTGTAACAATGTGCTCAAGCATATGAGAGATTGTAAAGATGGTACAGAATAGAGCAAGGTTCAGATATGTTGTTCATTGGGTTGTTATAAGATCTAGTCGATTCAACAGGCTCCCACAACAACAGATACTTCCAAGTACCCAGAAGGGGTGGACACAGAAAAGACAAGAGGAAGGATCGGTACATTTCACTGAGGAATGACTCCAGGCCTTGGGGCAGCACAAGGACTAGGTCATGGGCTGAAGCTCTAAGGTTAGGCTTTCTGGATTTATGCACCAGTATCAGCAAAAGAGCTGTTACCAAGCAGACTCTGACTCATGGTGCTCTCACACATGTTCGCATGGAATTGTGCTCTGTGGAGTTTTTCTGGCTGATTTGTCACCAGTCCTTTCTTCCAAATACCTCTGGATGGACCTCTGGTTGGACTCAAGCTTCCAAACAAGCAGCTGAACACATTAACCATTTGAACCACCAGGGATTGTACCTGTTGTTGTTGTTGTTATGAGAAATTTACTACTTTGTCTAAAATTGGTTTAAATCCCAAGTAAAATGTAATGCTGTACGTATGCCATTATATAGTGTGTATATATATATATATATATATATATATACACTGTATACTATATATATATAGTATAGTGTGTGTGTGTGTGTATATATATATATATATAGTATATTGTATAGTATAACATATATAGTATATAGTTCTTCTACTGGCAAGGTAGACAGCAGGTACACCATGTCCCCAGTGAAGTATGTCTCCTTTATGCAAACACAGAGCTATGTCTAAGATCAGCTTAATGGCAGGATTTATTATTTAGTCACATGGCACAAGAACATTCAAAGTTATTTATAAACTCATATGTGTCTTCAAAGAATATTTCAGGAGAGTTGTTACCCTCTATGGAGACACATCCATTTCAGCTTTGCATTAAGCTAATGTGTATTCACACAAACTATGCAAAGTAGAAAAAAGTAAATATTTTCTACCACCTAAAATTAGCCTTAAGTGGTTTAAATTAGTTTTCAACACTTCTATTTTATTTACAAGTAGAGTTTAAACAAAACATCATTTGCCATGGAATTTATTCCTTTGAAAATACTATTATTAATCCTTAATTTTTCCCAACGATTTTTGTGGTTTTTGCTTGGCTTTCAAAAAAAATTTAAAAATCAATCGGATTAAGTTTCTTCTAATGGGATCCAGAACTATAGTTTTCTTTTCTAATAATTATAAGCTATCATGTTTCAATTTGGTTATGGATTTAATTTTTGGGGATGTCTTTGTACTATTCATTTTAATGATGTTAAGTTACCTCTAGATACGTATTGCTGCTTGGATTTATTGGATCTCTGGGGAAAGTATAACTTAAAATCACAATATCAAACACTATTAAATAGGTATTAAAACAGTCATCATCCTGTTTCTCAGTTATAACAGAAGAATTCACGTTATTTACCTGTATTTCCACAGTTAAAGGATTCACCCTAACAGACTAAATGCTAAGATTCTAAGAAGACAGAGTACAATTTAAAAATTTACAAAACAAACTTCAGATAATAATTTGTTTACTTGGCTAA